CCTGGGCTGGAGAAGGTGTGTGGAGGAAGATAAAGGAAAATAAAATCATCTGTAGAAAAAATAAGAAAACACGTATAGTATAACATTAAGGGAGAAGACAGATGCAAAATTCTACCTCTAATATCGTTGTAAAGCATCCTGGGGGTTTTATTGAACATATAAAAATTATAAAGTAACATGGAGCAATACAAACACTGATTTAATTAGATGATAAGATTGTAGACAATTTTCTTCTTTAATTTCTATAGTCATTTTAATACTATTATTTCAATAAAGAAGTGTTACTAAAAAAAAGAAAAAAGGAAAAGCTCCTGGGAGTGCACCCACTCCCTCTACCATCTCTTCCCACTCCAGGCCCAACCTGTGGCATTTAGTGTCTTTAGAATCAATTCCAAATAGGCTGGCAGGTCACCTTCTGGTTCCAGAACTTTCCTGCTTCCCCACTGTCCATCCATGCAACCTTAACTCCCCTTTTGGTTTCAAATGCCCCCAATAATTTGGCCCCAGATTACATCTCTTCTGTGTCCCCAGCACCAGCCCGGAGTCTTGCCAGCCAATACAAGGTTCTAAAAAGAATACTGTTTTCAACAAGTCAAAGTAAAAAATGGCAAAGGAAATTTTTCCCTGGTATCAGGAAAATTCATTGCTTTAGATGAATTCTGAAATGTTTTCTGTGAAATATCTTAAACATTCTCAAATTTTTCTAGATTGACTTTCTGTCTTCTCTAAATCCAGATACAGTGCCTACTCCATGATTTCTAACAATTAATACTTTTCTCCAATTTCATTTAAGAAACCTGGAGAAGGACATGCAGTTCAAATATAGAATTCTATTCAGCAATCCCCTGAAAAATAGCTTTATTGCAGATAAAATCATATTAAGTGTCTGGTCACAGTGGCTTACACCTATAATCCCAGCATTTTGGGAGGCCAAGGCCAGCAGATTGCCTGAGGTCAGGAGTTCGAGACCAGCCTGGCTAACATGGTGAAACCCCATCTCTTCTAAAAATACAAAAATTAGCTGGGCATGGTGGCACACACTGATAATCCCAGCTACTTGAGGGGCTTGAGCCTGGGAGATGGAGTTGCAGTGAGCTGAGATCGTGCCACTGCACTCCAGTCTAGCCAACAGAGAGAGACTCTGTCTCAAAAAAAAAAAAAAAAAGATATTATGTGGCTAAAATAAATCCTTCCTTCCTATGGGTCTTTGTTTATTAGAGCTCATAAGAATCTAAGCATGCCCATGAGAAGTCTGTGGTGCTCTGCACCGTTCACCCTTGGGAGAACTCTGTGCCTTTTATCCAGCCACCCACAACCTACTCATCCTTCAGAACCCTGGTCATAGCCTCATTTCCCCTGGAGCAGGGGTTCCCCACCCAGGGTCACAGACCAGGACAGGTCTATGGCCTGTTAGAAACAGGGCCGCATAGCAGAAGGTGAACCACAGGTAAGCGAGCAAAGCATCATCTGTATTTACAGCCACTCCCCATCGCTCACATGAGCGCCTGAAGTCAGATCAGAGGTGGCATTAGATTCTCACAGGAGCAGGAACCCTGTTGTGAACTGCACATGCAAAGGATGTAGGGTGCACTGTCCTTATGCAAATTGAATGCCTGCTGATCTGTCACTGTCTCCCATCACCCCCAGATGGGAACTGTCTAGTTGCAAGAAAACAAGCTCAGGGCTCCCACTAATTCTACATTATGGTGTGATGTGTAATTATTTCATATATTACAATGTAATGATAATAGAAATAAAGTGCACAATAAATGTAATGCTCTTAAATCATCCTAAAACCATTCCCCTATCCCACTCCAGACCATGTAAAAATTGTCTTCCATGAAACCAGTCCCTGGTGCCAAAAACATTGCTATCTTTGCTCTGGAGACTTGTACATGGCCACAACCTACCCCACCCCTTCCTGCCTTGCTGCCTCACTCTGCTGTTTCATTGTACAGCCCATGGGTCCGAGCAGATGATAAACCCTCTGAGAGCAGAAATCTTGTCTCAACTTTCTGTGTACCCCAACAAGCACAAAACACAGAACTTGCCACACAGTTCTCATTCAATCATGCCCACGGAATTGATTTTTTTTTATCACTGTCATAAGGGGAAGCATTTATTACACCCCAGATATGCATATGATTCCCAGAAAAGTGTGCCTTTTGATGAGTGCTTGACTGAGACACATAAACTTGATTAAGAGTCAAGACACATAAACTTGACTTCCACTTCTGCCATTGTGTGCCATGAAAACAATCTCGTCCCTCTTTGGGCTTTGGTTTCTACAAAGACATGTGTATTTGTTTTCTATTGCTGCCCTAATAAATCACTGCAAACTTAGCAGATTAAAAGAACACCTCCTTATTATCTCACAGTTCTGTAGGTCAGAGGTCCAGGTGGTACAACAGTGTTCTCTGCTTAAGCTCCCACAAGGCTGAAATCAGGATGCATTCTCCTCTGGAGCTTGATTCTCTTCCAAGGTCATTCTTATTGTTGGAAGGATTCAGTTTTTTGTGACAGTGAGTGTGAGGTCCCATTTTCTTACTGGCTCTCACCCAGGGACCACCTTCAGCTCCTGCAGGCTGTCCACATGCCTAAATACCTGGTCCCCATTCATCTCAAAGCAGCAATGGTATATTGAGTTTTTTACATGATTTGAATCACTCTGACTTCCTCCTCTGCCACCAGCCTGAGAAAGTTATTTGCTTTTAAGGGCTCATGTGATCAGATGAGGCCCATCCTTATTTTAAGGTCATCTGTGCCATATAACACAACATTGTATAACAGTCTCATCACACTCACAAGCTTCAGTGATCACAAGGTGATATCTTCAGGGCCATTCCTAGACTTCCACCTATCACAACACAGTAGCACGAGGGTTCCATAAGGTAATTGATCACGTTCTTTCATATTGAAAGTGCCAACCTGTTGTTACTCCCTGACTCTGCACTCTGGTGTGGTCTCCTGATTTTCCTTTGTTGGACTTCATTTCATTCCCTCCTTTATCGACAGATGCTGCCAGGCCAGAGCCTTGGCTCTCCTTCCTTAATCATCGAGTCTTCTTTTACCTCTCCCCCAACCCTCACAAAGCCAGAGTCAGTTCCTTCCCCTCCTTGCTTCTACTTTACACTTTAGGTTTCAGCACCATTTGGTGCTAAGTGGTTTCACATTCCTTATTTCTTCTTGCCCAAATAATCCTGTGAGTTAGGCATGATCATACCCATTTTGCAGATAAGAAAACTGAGGCTCAAAGAGGTTAAATATCTAGCCTGAGATGAAGCAGGGAGTAAACGGCAGAGCTGCTGGCACTCCTGCAAGTGTGCCCTGTCCAGTTCTCACCAATGTAGCATATGATTAGACTTGAGGGGACCAGGGGGCAGAAGGGAAGAGAGAGAACACCCGTTTCCCCTCACCTCAAGCTCCACCTTAAAATGAGATGAAACAAGCTCCAGTAGTGATCCAGGCAGCCCCTGGACTGCTGACAGTTCCTAAGTTCTGCATGGGTGGCTGGGTGTGATGATTCAGCCAGGTAACTAAAGTCCTTTGGTGAAAAAAAAAAAAAAAAAAAAAAGAATGTTTGTAGAAGTGTTGTTTATAATTTGAAAAACAGAAACCACCTAAAGGTTCATCAACAAGAAATGGAAAATGATGATGTAATCATGAAATGGAATACTATGCAACAATGAACATGAATCAGAGCTATACATATCAATATACATGAATGTCACATACATTGTGTGCAAAAAAAAGTTGCATAAGAGTATTTTTCATACTACTTATATAAAGGTTTGTGGGGTTTTTGGTTGTGGGTTTTTTGTTTTTGGGGATTTTCTTGAGACAGGATCTCATGCTATCACCCAGGCTGGAGTGCAGTGGTACAACTCACTGCAGCCTCCAACTTCCTGGCTCAAGTGATTCTCCTGCCTCAGCTTCCCTAGTAGCTAGGACTACAAGTGTATACCAACATGCTTGGCTAATTGTTTTTAATTTTTTGTAGAGATGGGTTCTAACTGTGTTAGAACTGGTCTTGAATTCTTTGGCTCAAGTAATTCTCCCACCTCAGCCTCCTAAAGTGCTGGGATTACAGGCATGCACCCAGCTTTATAGAAAGTTTAAAATTATGTTATATATATATATATATA